TAACGTGTGTTTTTCTAATTTAAGAGGGATCAGTAAGGTAAGGCTACCGTGACGGTTTGATTCAGAAGGAGTTTAATGTATAAGATCCCTGATGTTGAGGTAACCAGAATGTTTATTTCCACTGTGTACAACATGTTGTAAGGGACCCACAATCTATCTTTATGCAAGGGATAATGTGCAGCGAGGCGGTCTCTATGGGGAAAATAACACCTGCATCTAGATCCCTCTGCAGGTGGTACTTTAAGTATATTATGATGCTAATACTTTTCTACTTTTACTTGTAACATTTTGAATGCAGGACTTTTTATTGTACAGGGTTCCTGTAGGTTTCGCCAACTCAAATTTAAGACTTTTTAACACCTTTTTAAGACCACTTTGAATAGAATTTAAGACCTATTTCACGGCAATAAAGTATGAAGGAAAATGTATATAAAGAAGAAATACGTCCCATAATCACTTACAAAGTAAATGTATTCATGTTCAACATAAGAACAGTGACTGAACATAACAGCATAACAGTACAGAACTGTGTTAGCGTGTTAGACAAAAAGTGTGTATGCGTGTGTGTGTGTCTGTGTGTGCTTGAGTGTGTGTGTGTTAGGGCTGTGCAATTAATCATATTTTAATCGCAATTACGATTTTGGCCTGCCACAATTACGAAAACAACATAATCTGAAAAAACGATTATTTTGCTTTGCTAGATTGTGACAGTGCACTACAACATATTTGATCTAATTATTTTTTTAGTAATGTATCATTTATTTAATTAATTTTTGTATTGGTTTTTCAGTTGAATTATACGTTCAGGGTAATCAACAGTTAAAAAGATACTGTTCAAATTATTATTTGTTTTAAAGTTCAATAAATGGATGTTTTCAAAGTCAATGAATAATCATATTTAATAATCGTGATATTAATTATTGACCAACATAATCTTGATTATTGCCATAATCGAGCAGCCCTAGTGTGTGTGTGTGTGTGTGTGTGTGTGTGTGTGTGTGTGTGTGTGTGTGTGTGTGTGTGTGTGTGTGTGTGTGTGTGTGTGTGTGTGTGTGTGTGTGTGTCTGTCTGAGAGAGTGACAAGAGCTATATTCAGAACTCTGCTGCCTTGGCTACACTATTTCATCGTTGCTGTTGTATGATTGGTGTTTAGCTACGGTATTTAGCGTCTACAGCACCTCCGCTTTTAGGGTTGACGTAGATCCAAACGTCGCCCGGAGGTCCCCCGGTGTTGTTGCGGGAGCTGCTGCAATAGCTAACGCTACATTAGCAAAACAAACACTAATTTATTTTGCAAAAGGTGCAGCGGGCTTCAAACACGTTCCCCTCCACTGGTTTCAACCAAGCACTAAATTAGATGTTTTCCAACCAAATACGGTTGAACTGACACTTTCCCATATTTATTTGTAAGTAGATTCGAAGATAGGCTACATGAGCTGAAGCTTGGTTGCTAGGTTACTAGCTGGGTGTTCTCCAATAAGGGGCCGGGGGAAACAAAGTTAGTGATTACTGGTTCCATGTTGATTTAATTAAATACAAATAGTTGGGGGGAACTGAAAGGCTATTACCGTACTTGTTACTTTGCAGCCCGGACATTTTCCCCAAAACACATTTAGACGCTATCGCAACATAGAAGTACCTTTCAAATCCGATAATTTTTAAGACCTTCTGAATCATATTTAAGCCCGTTTTAAGGTCTTAAATTCTGATTATCAAATTTAAGACTTTTTAAGACTTGTTAAGCCCCCGTGGGAACCCTGATTGTAACTTTTTTAATTGTCTGAACTTCTCCCACCTCTGACAATACATCCTGAGTGGTTACCAAAAAAAAACCCTGCTCTGAAGGTTATTTTCATTTGACAAATCCTGCACTCAGCTTTGCTTTCTCCAATATCATTGAAAAGCAGCCAGATGCTGCTTCTTTTTTCGGTTTTCGCTCATTTCTTGACTTTTTCCGACGCGCTTGCATTTAAATCCGGCTCCCCGTCGCTCTGTGCAGCTGGCCTGTACCACTACACATGCTGTGCCCCCCACCCTTCTTTCACATAATGGTATGATCCTAGTGTGTCCTCGCATATGATTGGCCGCATGGTGGCCCAGCTAAATAAAAACCCGCCCCTGCCTGCAAGGATTCTCAGCAAGAGTAGGAGTCTGCTCTTCTAACGGCAGCTCGCGATCGGCGTGTTGGAGACCTCTGAATTAAAGTATCAAGTCACCTCAAGTCAGAAGGCTCAAGTCCAAGTCAAGTCCCGAGTCATTGGTGTTCAAGTCCAAGTCGAGTCGCAAGTCTTTTGTGATGTTGTCAAGTCGAGTCTCAAGTCATAAAATGTGTGACTCGAGTCTGACTCGAGTCCAAGTCATGTGACTCGAGTCCACACCTCTGCTATTCAGCCCACAGTCAGCACAACTTCACACAGAGGGGAGGGGGAGTCTGAGACCACCACCATGCTGTTTTGGCATATGCCCTCTCTAGCCTGGAGGCTGCAAAATTAGGAGCAAAAGCAGGCACTTGTTAATACTGTTAGTCACTTAGTGCCTGCAGGTGAATCAGCCCTTTACCAATATGACTGTGCCGTTATCTCCAGCTGCACACGCATCATTTCATTATCAACGATAATATAATACATGCATCACATATTATTCCTGCTTTGATATTTGCATTAGATTCAGCTGCTCATCAATCCAAATATATAGTAGTACTATTTTTGGATGCGAGAGCTACAGATGAGGTCAGCCATCCATGAGCTCTTACACACACTAGTAAGGAAGCCTCAATAAGAGGGAAGATAATACTGTGCTCAAATTGCTGTTTTGTGTTTTTTAACGAGGACAGTACGACCTTGCTAATCTGTAAGGCTCCATCCACTAATCAACCCGGTGACTAATCCATTTCCTCATGCCAAAGAGAAGCTGCAGTTCAGCCCAGGGCCAGCCACACTGGCACAATTAGGAGGGAAGACAATAGCACGTGTCCTCAACCGAGGAGGGAAAATAATAGACACAGAGAGCACTTCACTTCAGTGCACTTTCAGCAAGATAGGAGAAAACTCACACTCCCCTGCTGTACTCAGCAGCAGCAGATAACACAAAGAAAACCCAGCTTTAAACGCATGCTCACACACATGATGTTGTTGGTGCCCACAGAGAGGGCTTGCAGGTGATGTGATTATAATCTAGCTTGCCTTAGAAAAGGTCGCCACGTGTCAGCAACAACAGTTGTGTTACATTTCTCTTAAACCTGACTGTTTATTTTCTGTAGACACAGTAAAGCAAAAACAACACAAATTCCCAACATGTGATGATTTGCTGCTGTTATTTGACATACAGGACAGTTTATTGAACAGCCCTGGGTTTTGCACTGTTGGTCAGACAAAATAAGACATTTGAAGGCATTACCTATTACATTTTGTAAACATTTAATATTATTTTTATAATTGTATTTTATAAAAAAAATATTTGTAGAGTTAACTAGGGTACATAAATATATTACCCAGACATGAAAATTGTAGCCTGGACAGATAGGAACAATTTAAGGGGAACATTGGATATTACTCAGGTGTTATCCTCTAACATGTTGTTATTGTGAATATTTGGAGAACTGAGACTCTGACAAGAAATATGCTGATCAGAATAAGAAAAACAAGCCTCCTACAGCTTTCCAAAATACTTGAGTTTAATAGAATCATCTGAAACACATGTCATTGAGACGGAGCGACAGAAAACTCAGAAAAAAAGTCCCCCGCAGCTGTTGGAGCGAGCTGCATAACAGATGACATAAAGACAAGCGATTTCAGGTAATGTTTTTTCTGATAACCTGAAGTGTTCTTAGTTTTGATATAAGCTCCCACTTGAGACTAATGTTGATCTTGCCAGAGTTAGAGCCAGAGGTGGCAAATTAATTCAGTGGTTAATCAATCATTGATTCAAACATCAATACCTAGACAATTAGTAAACCTTTCCTGACTACTACTGGTAAAGAAACAGTATCACATCCATTCCTATCCAGTTTTTCTCATTGGTTCCTAAGGTATTGTCATCATGTTCAATTCTTATTATGGACACAATTGTGAGAAAGACACCCAGGAAAAAAACATGACATGACATTTCCTTTAAAGTCTAAAGTAAAACCTCACTTACAGTGTAATTTACAACAACGGTATATATTCTAAAACCAGAATATAATCAAAGTCAGCCAAAATCTCAATAAACTAAAGCTGTCATAGTATTGCCTATACAGGTTAATGATTTGCTAGATTAGTAGTTACCTTGCCAACAAGGTCATTTGGAAAGGATTACTTTGTTTGTTTGTTTGTTTGTCAGACAAAGCATAGCATTGGCAGAGGAAGAACCCACTACATGTTGGAGCAGATCTGAAACATAAAGCAAATCATTTTCTAGTTTTTGTAGCATTTTTGTAGCATTGCGTCCTTGGACTTGTTTTGCTGCATTCATGTGGTGTCACAATAATTATAACGATTTGTTTTTAAAATTTCACATGAACACAACAAAGGTGGAACCAAACGACTTTCCGATACACCATGGCCCTAGGCTGAGGTTCACTCTCTCCAATAGGCATGCTAGTTAAACACAATAAAACATGTTTAAATTCACTGTGACCCCTCTCGAGCCAGATATACACACCTTAGGGCTAAATAAAAAGTACAATGTAGCAGTAACATTAAATAAGGAACAGACCAACAGACTATAACTCATCACTAAATGTATCTCCAAACACACCAGCATGTTCAGGGTGTTTGTTCCTGCAGTCTGGTAGTTTCATATCATTTTTCCTAGGCACGGCAAACCCTCCAGTGGACCTCCATAAAGCTGCCAGACGGCTGCAAAAAGATCTGGGACACAACTGCGCAAAGCATCTGCAGAGCCCACACGCTAGAAACACACACACACACACACACACACACACACACACACACACACACACACACACACACACACACACACACACTTTTAGGACTGTGATCAATTATGTAGACCCTTACTGGCAACGTCTAGTGAAGCATTGCGACTAATGGCTTCTCCCAGGTAGTTGCGGGCCACACAGGTGTAGGCGCCCTCGTCTGGTTTGCTCCGGCGTCCGTGCACAATGCGCAAGAAGAAGAGGGAGCCGCTGGGCAGGAGCATGCGGTGAGATCGGGGGTCATCTTTGTCCGTTTCCACACGCTCGCCATCCTTATACCATTCTATGCTGGGAAGGGGTCTGCCCTCTGCCTTGCAGTTGAGAGTGGCAGGCTCCCCCTTGGACACGATCAAATCCGAGGGGTCCTCCACAATCCGAGGTGCGCTGTCTTCAAACCGAGCCCGGGACCCTGTGGAGGAGGAGATTAGGGCAGAGGTTATCTATCTGACTACCTACCGTTAATGAAAACACTCATCTGTAAGTAACAGGACAGACAGCAGCAGAGGCATTTGAAAAAACAACAATATTTTTCTTTGGAGGTTGTTCGACAGAGACAGTGGTTGTGTGTTGGATAAATATGTGTGTAGCGAAGCAGCAAATCATGGGTAATCTCTCTTTGAAGGTCAACTCTCATTCAAGGGAAGACGTTTTGACATTTTAACCGTTTGAATCACGCTTTCCACCAACAACCTGTGCCTTTCACTTCACTAAAATTGATACTATTAGTTTCTGCAATATTCTGTGAATAGAAGAACACAGAAGCCCCATATCACTGTAAGAGAGCATACAGAGTATATACATACAGTATATATAGGGAGTATTTTCACAGAAGACAACTCCTGTGCAAAGGATTCAATCGTCCATGTGATATGGTAATGGTCTAACTATCTCTCTGTCAATCAGGACTGTTGCAGAGGTAAGAATGGTTGGTGGAAAGCTGGGAGCAGGACAAGCAGATCTATGCATTTAAGAATTGAAAGTGTTGAAAAAAAGAGCAAGTCAGAGAGATATAGATAAATCCCATATTCTTCTCTCTAGGGATCCATTACTATCTTTCCTTGACTGAGGCACACTGCTTAAAATCATAAGGTAAGCTTTTAGAGGAAGACCAAACGTCTCTAACAGTGTGTTACAGTTAGAGAAATGAATAATTCAAAATGCCACTGCTTTTACGAACAGATGGTCTCTCACTCTGGAAAAATACAAAATAAAGAAAATGGTCACTGTGTCACTAGTAATTGTGCCGCTCGGTCTGATGCATTATTTTCAGCACATAATCTGAACTGCATACAAATCCTTATTCATCATTGAAGAGGAGCAGTCAGGAATAACCTAATGACACACATGTTGTCGCACATGCATCCGCTACATTATATTTAAATCTGAGGCATCAAGATAAACCCTCACTTTTCAGCTGTAAGCAGATTTACGTCTTTTCATGAAATGATTTGATCCACGCGGGGCAGGAGTTGCCATCATGGCACAAACCTGAAGTAAACATCTAAAGAGCGATGTGAGCTCTCTCAGCGAAAACACCCCGAGGTCACCAAGCAGGACAGCTCAAAACACTAATGCAGGATGTGGATGAATACTAATCGCACCATTAAAATGTGCCATGGCACCTCCAGTCAGTCCCAACAAAAACACACACTTTGTTTATAAAAAGAGAACAAGTGTGAAGCATTTCATGGCCTGTAAGCTAATCCTTTAAGATATTATAATGCACTTTACTTTAGATTATGTTGCACATCTGCATGATATCTGTGACATGGACATCTTGCCACATCTGACTGTGTTTGTCTGCAGAAAATGTGTTTTGAAGAAGCGTCTCTCCGGCTGAGTGATGTCCTGGCGTTGAACCGTGTTTTTAAAGCACGCAAAGGTAGTTCAAATCCCAGCTCATATACTACAGTTACATCACTCTGCACTCTTACTCTCAATCAGAACTAGAACACAAATACTGCGAGAGAGTTGAACAGATTACTTCCAGCAGAAATGGTTTTTCTGACACTGAAAAGGGCAATGATGTTGAAGAACAAACCCTGCATCCTAAACTTCCGATAATGCAACTTCATAGCTTTGTTTATATTACTGTCATTTGAATGGCACACAAGCCTTGACAGTTCAGTTGTTGTCGGGCATTTCTCACAGCAGGTACATTGATGTTCATGTGTCAAATTATTGGAATGTCCCTTTAACTTTAAACTGGTCGGCTAACACATTTTTGCTGATTAAAACTAGATCTTAAACAGGATCTTTTGTACATGACTTTTCTATATAAAGACAGATCTTCCTTTTGAAGCAGTTTTTATGCAGTTTGGAAGTAGATAAACAAAACTGTAAAACCAATATTTACAAGTTAGTGGTTATACTGTATGGTCTCAACCAAAAACAATAAGCTGACACAAAATATAAATCTCTGAGAATTTGAGTGAATCGAACGTCCTGCAATGAGAACCCCCTCTGTGGATCTGTCACTATGAGCGACTGTCCCCTTTGACTGCACATCCATTGTTTACCTGAACAAATTATCAGTGAATCTGTAATTGAATGTAAGAGGGAACACTCATTTCTCAGGGGGACTTTAATGTGTTAGCTCTTATTTTAAAGAATATTTGTTTTAATTAGTGTGTTTGAGCTCAGTGATATTTCCTGAATAATTAAAGTTGAATTAGTAACCTAATGTAGTGTTCAACCCTTTGTTTTAGGATCTTTCATATTTACGTTTCACTGTATAATCATTTAAAACACTAAAATGTGCTCTCTCTTAAAATGACTGCTTTCGTTTTCACTGAAAATAATTTAACCCATAATCTTCATTCTTTTAAATAGTTATTTGTCTTCTTTAGTCATACTGTAGATCATCTCTGATCAGTTCCTTGTTATGGTCCTTAAACTCTCATAGAAATATGGAAAAATAACTTTATGTTACCTATAAATTCCATTATATCTAATAATTGTTACCTTATAATTTCAAGCTTGAATAAAACCATAAATCTAACATTAACATTTTCCTCCCTGTATTCGACACATTTATAGCGACTGTAATCGAGACTTTCTGTTTTGGGATGTTTTCGTTCCTGCTTACTTAGATCCAGCTGTCCTTGTGCTGCGTGTATCAGCACATACCGGAATTTCTAGTTGCTTTAGTTATTTGAATGGCACACATGGCACCACGACAAATCCTTGTGTATTCATATGATTTGCTGGGTTTATATTTTAATAGGGCTAGATACGCCTGCAGAAAATGTAGACACACATTTTAACAAGCTTAACTAAGCAGACATAGTCCAGTTAAGAATTAAAAGTGTATCAGAAAGTTTTTCAGTATTTTAGGAGTGGGGATTATTATTGAGGGTTATTGGGTAGAGACAATAGCTACAGCTATCAGTCAACTGTATCAATGCAACACCAATTATTATGGACAAAGTGGCAAAAGATATTAGCAAACAGCTTCAGGTTGACAAGCAACAACTTGTGCCTGTGACAAGTGTGTAATCAATGTAAAGTCTACACCACCTTGATACGACAGCAAAACATTTTCTTTGGAAGAAAGAATATTTTCACAGTTGCCTTTTCTTTATGACAGGAAGATTGCAGTGCAGTGGTTGAAAGCACATTTCAGCGAAAATATATATTTTTTTAACGTTACGGGCGCTAATGGGGATCTCTGTGACGGTATGTTTTAGTCAGATCATAAACGTAGCCCATTAGAGCCGGCAGTGGGCCCAAAGACACTATGGGAAGAAGGCGTGAGACTGGATTTGTCTGAAAATATTAATCTGGGGCGTTCTGGCGTGAAATGACTTTCATGTTTACAGGGAACTAACAAGAAGAAGTGGAAGGACATCTGATGTTGTAGAATTTCACAACACATGAGATTACCACTGAAAATAAACTGTTGCTTCAGTTAATTTAGGCTACATTTGGTGAAACTCAGAGCTTTGATCGAACAACAACAAGATATTATTTTCCATTTACTGTACATTAAGATTCATCAGTATTTTTTGGAGAGTTTAGAATTAAAGATTGGATTTAGTTCTGACTGCTTTACGTGGTTTCTCAGCAGTAAATAAAACATAAAGCAGTGGTTTAATAATCAAAGCTTAGTGTTGTTGTTCTCCTTAACAATAGGAGACATCAGCTCAACAACAGGCTTGCCTTAACAGAAGGTACAAAAACATGCCCTATTCAACATTAATTCAACAGGCTTGTATTGAATATTATAAGTCATAACTGATTTAATTCCCTGTAAGACAAGCACCATCTTTATGCTAGAGCTCTATCGGAGAGGACAAATCAATTAAACCCTGTAAAACACATCTTAACTACTGTATGAACCTCTTACACATTCAGCGAGAGCTGCAAAAGACAATCAAGATAATCCATAGGAGTAAAAAGCATTCAACCTTCAGCTGTCGTCAAGTATGAAGGGGGCTTTGTGAATGACAGTGTGCAGGGTCTCATGCAAGGTTATCGCTCCTTTTTGCGCTCTCAAGGCCATGAGGCTGAACATCGGATTGAACAGCTCTTCTCATTTGATACTTGTTGAAAACCAAACTGATATATTTTCCTGTTTCCTGGAAACAAAATAAATAGTACTGATAAATGGCCTTTATTTACCAGTATTTCTTTTTGTTTGCCTCACCATCTTGCAATAGGCGAGGCTCAGCCTCATCTCTCTCTGAAGGTATCGACCTTGGAGTAGATGATGGCTTTGTGTACAATGTTCAAGAATCTGGCTTTCACGGACTGGCAGCCATTTCACTCTGGGAGAGCCTACAGTATAGTCCAGGGGTACTCAAATACAAATCTTAAAGGTCCAAAATAAATGTTTCAATAAAACAAAGGTCCGTTTATTACGGTCATTCAAACTTTTAAACAATTGCAACAAGATTCTTAACACGAGGTTGCAAAAACAAAAATAATCTGAATGCAGCAGTTTTCATTGTTATTGTGTCTGTGCTTGACCCCTCAGAGTCGCAGTGTAAGAGCTGCACAGTTATGAATAAAGGCAGCTGCACCCTCTTTCATTCAGCATTCCCATTAGTGCTTTATAAATGTCTTGCCCCCTTGTGTGTCCACTGAGGTTCGTCAGGCCCAACACATCTTCAACAAACTCCCCCTTTGCCTCATCATAAAAACTCACAAACACCAGCAACTGAGCATTGTCAGTGGTGTCAGTGGACTCACCCACAGCTAAGGAAATGCACTGTACATTTTTTATTCCATCACAAAGCTGATGAATCAAATCACCAGCCAGTATTTATGTTCTTCTGGTTGCTGTGGAATCTGAGAGGGGGATTTGCTTGATTTGACCTGTTATTTCCTCTTTTTGTTTGCCTGCAACATGGTCTCCATCACTTCAGTCATGCATTATTTTATACTTCAGTTATTATCCAGTGGAAA